GGGGTCTCACCAGGCTCTATCAGACCAGGAAGCCTGTGTTTTTTTTTTTTTTAATTTTGAGTTTTCTTCCGCATTATTCTCCCACTCTATCCAGGATCTCCTGCACCGATCCCCCTCCAAGTGGTTGACAGTGGTAGCTGGGCGCCATCTAGTTCTTCTGGTCTCGTGGTCATATAGGCTGAGCATCTCATGGTCTACCAGTCCCTTGGACGAATTGTTTCCGTGTGTTTTCTTCGTTCTTTGCTCTGGACGAGGAGAGACCCATCCTTGCATCTGGATGGCTACTTGCAAGCTTTTAAGACCCCATTTGCTATTCACCAAAGTAGGATGTAAAATGCTGTTTTTGTTAGTTATGTTATGCCAGTTGAGCTTGATGTTCCCTGTGACCACAGTCCCGAGCCCACAAGTCCAGCTACTCGCTCCCTCCGGGTAGCTGGCTGTTGCCAAGAAGCTACCACAACCTTGCCCCTTGTCAGCTCTATTGTACACCTGACCATTCTTACAGCTCATACAGATACGCACATAGAAACATTGTCTGCTAACGCTGCACGTGGTCATGGGCACACTCCCCCCCTGCCTAGACATACCTGATTGTTCAGCTTGTCCACCCATCTGTCCACCTGTAGATTAATGCTGATGGCAGTTTTTTGTGAAACAGGGAATTGGTTTGCTCTCAGAAGTCCCTCTGGCAGTATTAATGTTTTCCATGAAGAATGCTGTTAGGGTTAATGTGGATCTTAGTCTTAAGATTTTGGTGTCTAGTTCCCCTGCCATGCCCACCTCTCCAGGAGATGAGGGAATTGTCCCCACTGCAAGATTTATCATCTTCTGTATCTTATCAACAAAAAGTATCTGTTAAGCTGCACCAAAGGCATTTCCCAGTAAGCAGCCTGTGCAATCTCTCTCTCTACAGATCTTTCTAAACCCTTGGGGAGGGGAGGTGCTAACTGTCTTCAGATAGCTGGAGGGCTGTCATGTGCTCTGTGCAGATATAAGCAGAAGATCTTGGGGTAGACGGGGAAGAAAGAATTTTTAGCACCCTTTAGCACTTGCCCAGGGGTGGCTGGACAAGTTAGTGATCTCTCCAGCATGGAAGGGGGTCAGGACACCGGTTAGGATGTTGAGCATTGAGGGAATGTGAGCATCTCTTGATGAAGGGGGTAGATGAACCAGGAGGCTTCCATCCACCCTCAGAATTTACAGTTGTATTAAATGCTTCACTGACCCTGTTCTAAGCACTTTAAAAACTTAAAGTTCTGGAGGCAAGAAGGACTTAGGGCTCAGAGCTACACCTGTAAAATGGATGAGCATACCTTCCGCTAGGGTCATCGGGAGGGCGAAGTGAGAGAACCCCTGACGACCGCCCTCCCCAGGAGAGAGGGCCAATGGATGTGAGTTCCCTGAATGTGTGCTCCCTTCTGGGAGCAGCATCTGCCCTGAAGGGCAGTTCTTGCTGAGGCTATAGTCATAAGACCTAATTTACCTTATCTCTTGCCTCGCTCTTCCTGGTCGGCTTTCTGTACAGTGACGTAGGACAAGTTTGCCAGGAATGTGCAGTGCCTACACCCAGCCTATCTCAGAAGGTGGTTCTTGCTGATTTCCCACTAGCTGAACTTTGAATTCGCTGAGTCCAGACAATTCCTGGTCCAGGGTCCTTTTTGCTTGACCCTTTTTTCATTCAGCAAGCATTTGCTGGCTGGCTATGTCATGTGCCCAGTGATAGGTGCTGGGGTATAGTGGTGATTAACACATGTTCCTGGCCCCCAGGAGCTTCATGGTCAGGAAGGGAAACATGTAAGAAACAGACATTGTGATACTTAGGAGAGAAGACCTTATTGGCTAGCTTTCGGGAGATGGGGTTGGCATTGAGGGTCTGCTTCTGGAAAGAAGTGATGCTTGAGCCCAGGTTCCTCTTCAAGTCCTTGTTGTGGTAGGCCACTAGTTCAAGTGCAGAGGCAGCCTAATGTCCAGAGACATGTCTGATCTCTTCAGATGCATGTAGTCTTCCCTAAGAAGAAAGGCAAGATGTGGTTGTTGAGTGTCACCTTGGCTGGGCCTGGTTGAGTGGTTGGGC